TGGTTGCACTACAAAAAAAAAAAAAAAAAAAAAAAAAGATATTTAGGGATGAGAGAAATTTTGGATAAAATGTAAAAATATTATTTATCCAATAAAACTATTTTGTACACTTAAGCAAAAACTGTTGCTATAATCAATGTACAACTACAGTTTTCAAGAAAATCCTACTATTAAGATTGTATTGGTTGTTGTATAATGCCTTCTAGCCCCCATTACTTTGCTACAGACATGGGCAGTGATGAAGAGTTTGGCTTTTGCAAAGCCCAAAACATTATTTCTAACATCAAACTGAATATCATGTACAACCTGCAAAATAGATTGGAAATGCTGCCTATGAATTCTATTATTTCTCTCCCTCTAAACATAATAAACTGTAGCATTCTAGGCCAATTTAACAAGGATACAGTACAAGGATTTCCTCCTAATCCTCTTCCCCATCCAGGCCAATAAACCTTGCCAAGAGCAGAATAAGGGAATTCCTGTTATAATACAAATAGCCTGCCATATTTGCCTAGTAAAATGACACTGAAAAAACAGATAAGCACTTGTTTCTATTGCTATTTTACAAAATAGGCAAGTGTCATCAATATTAGGAGTCCATTTCTTCTGCCTATTTCTTGTTGACAATCTATCCAAGAATGCTAGCCAACAAATGAAACTATGCTTAGGGATTGCATAAGGAAACCATACTATCTGTGCCATATAACCTTTTCCTGCTTTGCTCATAGGGAATGCCATGCATTACTTGTCTTAAACACTCCTAAGGTAAAGAAAGTCCAAATAACTGAGTCCTTCTCCACACTCTTGGAATATAGAGTGTCAAAAAGAGCCATATGAATCTTTACAAGTTGTGAGGAACAAGCAGGAGGCTAGTTCCAGAAATTTCCATTAACCACTTCAGAAACTTTGGCAAATCAGTGCAGACCCGAGTCAAGAACAATATTAGTTCCATTTGTTTAAGGAAGCACACAAATTGCCAACTAACTTTAGCACTTTTTGCATTTGCTGTTGAGCCATTCCATAAAAAAGCACTACAAAGCCTTTCCACCTCCTTGGTTACTTTCTTGGGCAAGATAAAAGAGGAGCACCAAAATGTTGAAATACCTTAAATAACAAATGAAATTAATTGCAATCGACCAGCAAAAGATAAGTGTTTTGATGTCCAAGAGTAGATTCTCTCAGTGATCTTGGATACTAGTGGCTTAAGATCCTCCTTTGTTAACCTTACCGTGATTAAAGGTACTCCTAGGTACTTGATAAGGAGCATACCAATTTTCAAGCCATAGGTTGAGGCAAGATGCTGCCCCCTGCTTTGAGGAATACCACAACAAAAAAGTTCTGACTTTGCATAATTCACCTTTAAGCCAGAAAAAGAATAAAAGCCTTTCAAAATATCATCAATAGCAGTAAGAGAGGATATCTTTCGATTTGTAAAGATGATAAGATCATCAGCAAAAAAAAGATGAGTAAGATTAGTTTTTGCACACTTAGGATGGTAGCCCAACTGCCCATCTAAAGCAGCCTTGTTAAGCATTTTGGAGAGGACTTCCATGCAGATATTGGGGACGAATAATTATATCCCCATAGGCTTGTTAAGTGTTTTGGAGATCTTTGTTATGGATGATAGAAATGGTCCCCATAGGCATTAAAATTTGTCCCCAAAGGTATTGGGGACGAATAATTATATCCCCATGGCCGTTCTCTAAGGTGGCCTCCCTAAAAGTTTTGGGGATGTAATTTTGGTTCCTAGAGGCTTTTGGGTATGTTGTGTTACCAAAATATTAGGACAACTTATGCCTAATACTTTAAGAGATGTAAAGACTAAAAAAGATAAGACATCCCCATTTAGAGTTTTGAGCAGGTTTGGGGATGATTAAAATGAATAGTTCCCAAGATAACTTAAAGTACATTATTGGGTATGCCAATGGATAGGTTGTCCCCCAAAACTCATCCCTTAATGTTCGTTTTTTTTGTGGTGTTGCTTGGAATACCCTTGAGAATGT